ATAACTGATATATAAATTGATAAAATACCTGTCCGGGCGGGCCCTGTGCCCCGGAGTCACCTTTTACTCCTGGGATGCCATTAATACCCGGTAACCCTTGAGCACCCGGCAAACCGGGTAAACCTTGGGGTCCCTGTGATCAATAATTTATTGTTTAAAACTCAATTATTGAAATGTTTACTATATAGTGATAAAACCTCTTCTCCGGACAATCCTTGTTCTCCATCGCTTCCATTCAAACCCTTTTGATAAATAAAATTAAATAAACTTCACGTTATATTATATTATAATATAAAAGCAAACCTTCTCTCCTTTATCTCCCTTCTGACCGTTCGGACCCTTAACCCCGGGCTCTCCTTTATCTCCTGTCTCTCCTTTTACTCCAATTTTTCCCGTAATTGTCGGTCCCTTAAGAGATATTAGTATTAATTATACAATTAAAATATATATGATATACTTGAGGTCCGGGTGGGCCAACGGGTCCCGGTTCACCATCTCTTCCTGGTATACCCGGAGGTCCAATAGGTCCAGAACTGCCCTAAAAGCACATTCAGTCAATTACTTAAACTACTTAATGTATGAAGTTATTAAAAATAAATAAATTCTACAAGTATTTATAGATCAATTACCGGTTCTCCTCTTTCCCCGGGAATCCCAAATCCTTCGCCATCAGCGCCAGGCGTTCCATCACTTCCAGGAGGACCCGTCAATCCCGTCACCCCCTGTATGCCTTGCTCTCCCTAAACACATAAACACAATATTATATTCGTTGTTAAGTATTATAATATATTGGATAAAAAACCTTTTCTCCCTTCTGGCCATCCATTCCTGTGTCGCCCTTTTCTCCTCGCAGTCCTGATATCAATAATTTAAAAATAAAGTTATTTTGTAGTATATTTTTATTTACAAGTTAAAAGTTAAAAAATAAACCTGGTTCTCCTGCAATTCCTGGCACACCTACGCCAGTTTGACCAGGAGGACCCTGTTCAAATCATACATGTATATTAGGTTTTTTATATTTATGCAAAAATATTCAGACCGGAGGGCCTTCGGGACAGACGGGACATTCACTCATTGGCTGTGTTGGTGATGGCGTGGGAGGCGGGGGCGGAAGGGTTACCACTGGTTTCTTATACTAATTTGAAAAACAATTCAAATAAAACTAATGGTATTTTTAATGATTCAAAATATACCACAAACTCAGCGCACGATAATAAACCTGGTTCTCCTGCAATTCCTGGCACACCTACGCCAGTTTGACCAGGAGGACCCTGTTCAAATCATACATGTATATTAGGTTTTTTATATTTATGCAAAAATATTCAGACCGGAGGGCCTT